TTATACTACTCTAGGCAAATATGAAACTGAATGAAAAGAAGTTTGCATCTCAACTGTGAACTGAGTGTAAAAAGAGAAAAGTTAGGGATCATAAAAATTTTCTCATGAAAATGATCATAAAAGAGTTACGATCCTTGGATTACCTTGATTAGTGTATGGTGTTTTATTCTAAGTGTAATCTAAGGGTCACAAAGCTTTCATGATTATTTTCATGAAAGATTTTTCATGATACCTAGCATTGCTGGTGTAAAAATCAGAAGCAAAAAAAAGTTTAGAAAGCAAACCATTTTCTTCTTTCTCCTATAAGAGGAAGACATTAATAGAACTTCTGGTCTTGTTAAGGATCTTCAGGGCAATGAGTGGAGAGAATCAATGCCAAGGTTGCGCCAGTGGTGGTGGAACAACGGTATCGAGGAGGCGAGAGGCCGGCGGGGTGTGAGATAGAAGGGTTTGTAGAAACCCTAACACACAGTAGAGAGAGAAGAAGAGAGTAAACAAAAGAACACAGTAGAGAGAGAAGAGGAGTCCTAACACAGTAGAGAGAGAGAGAAGAAGAGAGTAAACAAAAATAACACAGTAGAGTGAGAAGAGAGTACAAGATGAGCAGTACACCACCGGTTGCTTGTTTTTATTTTAAACTAATTTGTTTTGACTTTGGATGGCTAAGATTTAAAGATTTAAATTTAATAGTTCAAAATTATTTTCATGTATGTTACACAAAAACCACTTTTGGTACCATAATCGAACCCGTCCATCACAAAAGAACTTCCAACCCAGATCATCATTGAAATCCTCTCAAGACTCCCCATCAAAACCCTATTCCATTGCCTACTCGTTTGCAAAGACTGGTTTTTTTCAATCTTAGACCCTTACTTTGCCAAGCTCCACCTCTCTAGATCACCAATCAGTCTCTTGATCAAACCCATCTACAGAACCACCCCGAATCAACACAACTTCGCTTGATTGACCTACAATGCGAAATCCAATTGAAATTCAACTCCAAAATCAACTTCCAAATTCTCGAACACCAAACAGTGAGCTCCTGCAATGGTTTGCTTTGTTTGTCCTGTATTTCTAACCCCATTTACGCATGCAATCCGATTCTGGGTGAGTACATTACCTTACCCATCTCAACATATGATGGAAAATAGCAACATCGTACTATCACTGCTTTTGGTTTTAGTCCAATGACCAACCAATACAAGGTTATACAATTTTTTATTTATCGGGTTTTCGACCCCATTAACCAAGCCAGGGCTATGATTTACACAATTGGTGAAGGGTCGTGGAGAGACATAGGAATTGTTCTGTAGGGGATCAGAGATCCCGCCCAAGACCTTGTAGAAATCATACCAAGTAGAAAAACACACCCACACAGAAGGAGACACCATATTTAACGTGGTTCGGCCTTAAAGCCTACGTCCACGGGAGAGCAACCTGTTATCACTATAACAATGGAGAGATTACAGAAAGATTACAATAGAGGAGGAGCTCACACTTTCCTCACTCACCCACTCACCTGTCTCCCTCGCTCACACCGAGAGAGACGGTCTCTCCGCCTCACATCTCTCACTCTCTTTGGTTTGCTCTCTTGGTTCTCTCTATCCAACCCCTCCTCATCACCTCAATTTATACACAATTGAGGGAGGATGTGATTGGTCACCACCTACCTCCTTCCACTCTCTAGCGGGTTGGAGTTGGTGAGCCACCCCCACTTTCTCTCTAAGTGGGTTCTTCAAGTGGTGCATTATCACCCCCTCAACATGGGGTGATATATTCAACAAATCACCCCTTCAACCCATGTGAGGTGATCCACTGCACACACTGTTGCTAATCTTGTCACGCCCAAAAAACCAACAGAATCTTCATTTCCTCACTGAGACACTGCATCCCCTGAAGCTAGAGATAATACACCAGAGATACAAGAGGAGGAGGGAATCCTACATCCTCAACTCAACTCATACCGCTATTTGATTTTGGAGAGAGCCTCTGCTCCTATCTCCCACAGATCTCTTCCACGCTTCCTATCTCGGATGTCTTCACCTGCTATGCTTGAACTTGCGTAACCAAGATATCTGACACCCCCTGATTGGATGTCCTGCACCCCTTGATTGAGATGCCTAGCACCCTCTGCCCGGGATGCCTTGCACTCTTTTGAGTGCTCTGTGACACTACAGCTCTTCCCTGAAATGCCACTATCCAGCCATGTATCTCCTTTGCACGGCCAAAACTAGGGCAACATAAAACTCTTCATTTGTCTGGTCAACGTTCCTGGTTTTCTTTTGCTTGGAGTTTCCTCTAAACCATCCTAAACTTATCAGCATTTGCCCTTTGCACTCCTGAACAACTTCCCAGCGTTTCCATACACTTGTTGTTCATGCCTTTTGCAATCCCTAATCTCAAGTTCAGTGATACGCGTTATCTGCGCATCTTTCACTTGTACTATCAAATTAACGGTTGACAGTAGCTTTCTTTGCCAAAGCAACTTCAACAGGTTTGTACAAGTAATCAACTATGCAACACCTAGCATAGTACCCACACCCATACTCCTTGAGTGCTCATTGTGACTCTATCTCTCCTCCTGCGCTCGAGCTCGCCTGAGAGATCCGTAACTACTCTATTTCATCAAGAGGTGCGTTCGCCGCCACAGAATTAAAAATCGATACCATAACCCAGGTATCCAACCATTCAGTCAAATTTGAATGCCATCTGTTGTACAAAACACTAGCGCTTTTCCAAAAAACACAGCAAATTCTATTGCTCAAAATCACATTGAGCTAATGTAAAGAACATGCAGAACCAATCGAGCTAGCTCTTCAATTTTCTGTAACTCAAGCTCCACCATAGTGCCAAGTTCTGATTTCCATGGGCGCCAAACAAGTTGTCCTTGACAACTCCAAACAAAACATGGTGAGCAACCCGCTTAAACCAATGTTGAGGAGACTAAACAAGAGAGGTTTCAAATTCTCTGTCAAAGCAACTTCAAAAGCGGTACCAAAAACATCATGTCCGATCAACCATCAAACACAATACTGCTTTCTTCAAGCTCGAATTAATCAAGAGAGCCAAACAAATTCTCTGAGAACTGAGGCAAGTTCTCCACCACACAAAACTGGACTGTGGATGCAGTGAGGCTTTAACCAGTTCGGAAGTATCGGAACAAACTTCAAATGAACTTACAAAATACCAACAGCCAAAAAAGTTCTGAAGTGTCGAGCAAACTCCAGATTCCTCCAACTGCAATTCCAACCGGCAAACACAAGATGATGCACCATCTCCACAGCTGCCAAAAAAACTGCCTAAAGGCGCATGCATCGTAAATGCACAACTCCAACAGTCCCTGCTGACTCCACCGAGTCTTCGAACGATCTATCCCCTCCAAATCCAACAGCAGATTAAGAGATGGATCCTAACACATGAGATTCACAAAATCACCATCTTCACGTTTCTTCGCAACAATCTCTTCCAATCTTCAATGAACACCAACGGTCAGACCGCTTCCAGAGAAACAAACACCCGGAGTCTGAATTGTCACCCAGACAACCAATAGCTGATGTCTTTGAATATGGAACATATTGCCAAAATGAAAATGCACAAGAAGAAGAAACAATCAAGTCTCACAAACTGGAGACACCCTTGGATCTAATCAGACACGATCATAGATCCCAACTGTGATAATGAATCTCAATAAACCACGACTCTGAAAATCGCCAATAATCCGTGAAAGACTGCCAACAACAATGCCTCCAATAGACATTGAACAAAAATGCCAAAACTCCACCAAGACCTGAAGTAGATTGTCACACCTTCTCCTTCAAATCGACAAATACGGAAACCAAGGCTTCACCAGATGTGAGCCTTCCAACAAAGATCCATGAAGGATCTCCAACGCCTCCACAGAGGCCAATGCCAATAAAGTGCTACTATTTGGACTTATTACATATGCCAAATCTTCGTAGTACACTCTGCCAATGCTGGTTCTCTCTATCCCCTAGAGAAAAACCCAATGAACTCTAAATTTCTGTAACTAACCTAAGAGTCTCCAAATGAACTGATAACTTCTACAACTGACTCTGAAAGGTCTTCAATTGGCTTCCAATTGGCTTCAACCGGGTGAACAAAATTTTTCACTCCTATCACCCATATGGATGATAAAACACCGTCGTACAAATATGCCTCTATTCCACTGAGCATCCAGAGTGAATCTGCATTACTTGGAATGTCTTCAATCGCCACACATCATCCTGCATGGCTCGCACTTCTATCACCAGGTACTTACATCCTCCAATAGAATGCTCACCGTTTCCCTGTTGAGGTGACTCCACCCAAACTCTCTGGGTGCCTGTCGTGACTTCATTGCCACGAACCAGATTCAGGACAAAGAAAAAGATCTGCCTCTCACTGGGTGCGCACTGCAGCGTCTTATCTCTTTCAATTTCTTTGTCTGGAGCTTTCTTCTGTGAACTAGTTGTTGCTGCCAGGCCAAAATTCGACACACTACACCTTTGTGCGACTCTGTTGCATACTCTTGCACTGTTGTACGCCAGCACCTTGTATGACATTCTTACGTACTCATCTGTGCTATTGTAGGTACGTGCTCCTACACCTTATGTGTGCACTATTGCAGCTGTTTCCCTTCCACGTTTACATACTACTAGTACTTCTTGTATTATGTTTGACAGTAGCTCCAACTGCCACAATATTTCCCTAAGCCTGTACTGGTTGCCAAATCATCTATACGTCGATGAATAGTCTTCTCTTCTGATTGAACCAGATCTTTCAAACACCTCAACAACCAGGAAAGTTCCCAGGAAAGACTGGTGGGGTCACAACCGGTTCCACTTAAGAACCAGTCTCCTTAAACAGTGTCTTTTTGACAGAACTTTCCTAGACATTGTTGATCTTGAGATAATCATGTGCAATTCTCCTGATCACGTCCTGACCAATCCTGATCTCCTTAGATTCGCCATTTGATTAAGCCTGATCTCCTTTGGTCTCCAATGATCTATCTCGATTTGTATCTGGTTGTCCAATCTGGTCAGAATCTACCCATTCTAACCTCTTCAGTGAATCCGCAGCGTTCCACAATAGTTGGCAACCTTCCTTCAACTATTAAAGATGACAAACTTCCATGTTTTTTTGACAATCTTTAAAACTGGGCAAAATTGCAAATTTTCCAAACACTGGGACCAAACTGTAATTTCACAAACTATAGGGGCCAAAATGAATTTTTCTAGAAATTTAATGAGCAAATTGTAATTTCTGAAAACTTCTAGAGGCCAATATGCAATTTCTTGAAACCTTTGGCCAACTTGTAAATTCCAGAAGTGCCGATTTAAACATCTGACCGTATGGATGGGTTTGGAATACTCCAAATAGTTGGAAACCATTATTGGATCGTCAAAAAGGGACTCCGAATGGCTCAGATCAGCCAAAATAGTTTGGACGCTTCAGATCTGTGGCTGCACCTTAGCCGCGGTGCACTGGATCTCTCCTCTGCCTCTGGTTGACTGGTCAGCCGAGGTGCTGACGTGGCAGTTGCCGTGGCTCTGACGCGGCGCTACGTGGCGTGCGCGTGGCGGACACGCGCGCTCGCCACTCACCTTTTCCCTTCCGCCGCGTGTGGGGCGCGTGCACGCGACTGGGCCGACGCGCCGACTGACTTCACGGCGCGTGGAGGCGCGTGGAAGCGCGTGCTGCGACTGGGCCTCACTCGACATTTTCACTCAGCGCGTGAGGGCGCGTTCAGTCTCTTCTGGGCTCTGCTTTGCATTTCTAGGTTCCTCTCGTCGAGACCTTGCTTCTGGTATACTCAAAATCTGATTTTGAGGCCTCGTTTGGCAAGAGGCTATTTTAGCCAATTAGCCAAAAAGTTACTAAATTAGCCAAAAAGCCAACAACCCATACCAAAAAGTCAAAGATTCTCTTTTCTCTCTACTTTTTGCACATCTTTTCGTAATTAGCCAAAAAGTCATCCCAAACATACAAGTTTTTTTTACCTACCTTTTTAGCCAAATAGCCAAAAAGTTACTAAATTAGCCTGTTCCCAAACGAGGCCTGAGCAATTTGATTTCTGGACAGTTTCGAAAATCACACTGTTTTTGTTTCGAAAATGACCGACGAGGCTCTGATACCACTTGTAGGGGATCGGGGATCTCGCCCAACACCTTATAGAAATCATACCAAGTAGAAAAACACACCCACACAGAAGGAGACACCATATTTAGTGTGGTTCGGCCTTAAAGCCTACGTCTATGGGAGAATAACCGGTTATCATTATAACAATGGAGAGATTACAGAAAGATTACAATAGAGGAGGAACTCACACTCTCTTCACTCACCCACTCACCCGTCTTCCTCGCTCACACCGAGAGAGACGGTCTCTCCGCCTCACATCTCTCACTCTCTTTGGTTTGCTCTCTTGGTTCTCTCTATCCAACCCCTCTTCCTTACCTCAATTTATACACAATTGAGGGAGGATGTGATTGGTCACCACCTATCTCCTTCCACTCTCTAGTGGGTTGGAGTTGGTGAGGCACCCCAACTTTCTCTCCAACTGGGTTCTTCAAGTGGTGCATTATCACCCCCTCAACATGGGGTGATATATCTAACATGTTCCTTACTATTTGACTAATCGTTCAGTCCATTCTTTCTTGAATGGGGCTCTTCATTGGCTTACTTTCACCCAAGATAGTCCCGACTTCATTCGTTGTTTTGATTTTGGGTCTGAGCAGTTTCGGGTTGTTCTTGAACCTCCTGAGTGTGGTCTGCCTAGGAAGAATTTTATGGGTTTTGTACGTGTGGGTGTGTTAAGAGATAGTCGCTATATTAGTGATTTTTCTAATCCCTTTCATTGGGATATATGGATAATGAAAGATTATGGCATTAAGGAGTCTTGGAGCAAACAGTTCGTCATTGGGAATGTGACTAGTAAGAGAGGGTATGGTGACTATTATGAAACAATTATGATTCTAAAGAATGGTGAAATTTTGATGCTTGTTAACAAGGGTGTTCTCGTGCTTTATAGTCCTAAGGAAGGTAGGGTTGAGAAGTTAAATATTGATGGGATCAACATCAACCCTGCATTTTATGGGATTGCTCATATTCCAAGCTTTGTTTCCCTCAAGGATGTTGCCAAGGAGAATGCTTGAAGGTATACATCTATCTTTCTATTTGTTTTGTTTTGCGAAGGTAAATTTTTAAAATTGAAATCATTGTGTAGCATTTTGAGTTTATCTACCGTGGAAGCTCTTGTATATGTTATACTTCAAGACAATTTGTAATATGTGAAGTTTGTTTGCTATATGTCTTTGTTGTCTAACTTTTCTCAAATTTAATCTTGAACAAAATAATTTGGCTAATGCACTTTCGTATATTTTCACCTGCACAATTATGTGCAGCTTTTAATTCCCTTTAAATTTCTTGGAGTTAGAGCTTTAACACTTTCTTGAGTTCCAATGCTTACATGGTAAGTGTTGGATGATATGTTTTAGGAGAACTTATGATAAAAAATTGTTAGGATGGTGTCTTCAATTTAGAGTTTAAGGGGCCTATCTGCAAGCAATAGAGGTCACAAGTTTAAGTTTGTTTTGGGAATAAGCGTGTTTTGGTTTTAATTTGAAATATTGTCCACCTAATATTGTAGAATACCTATTATGGGAGTTGAACTAACAATTAATATTGTGAAAGAGTAGTATATATATGTTATAGATGATGTAGAACAGGACCTTTGGGATTATTCTTTCAACCAATACTAATGAGATGGAGCATAGATCCCCTTCACCTTCCTCATTTTCTTAACTGTGGTTTGATTTCTAAAACTTGAGATTCAGATTAAGAGTAGTATATTCATTACCCACCTTCACCCAAAAGTAAATAAATAATGAAATAAAAACCCGGGGAAAAAAAGAAGTGATAGTGTAGACACCCTATTTTTGACCGACCTTAAGACTCATACATCATCGATTGAGCGCTCGGTGATAGCGCATGTTGTGCTCATTTTGAGTTTCTGGAGTTTTGGCCGAGTGCCTTGCCCCTGGGCCTTTGAACTCTTTGTGCTTCAGCTCGGTTTGCGGACCAAGTCTGGTTTTCCTTGCCTGAGGGAGGGGTCTTGTAGACCACTCTTTTGTGGTCGTAGACCATTTTTTTTTTTGTGGTCGTAGGCCACTTTTCCCATTTGGAGACTAGTTTCCGGTTTTCAGAGCCTTTGGTGCCGTGCCTTGTCTCGGGACCGCTTAACGTTCTCCTTTTGGCGTGGTTTTTGAACCACACCTTGTTTCCTTGGCCTAGAGGGCCACTGTGGTTTGGGAGACCACTTTTGTGGTCGTAATCCACTTTTGGTGCTTGTCAGCTAGTTTTCGAGGCTCCCGGCTGCTCGCTTTGCCTCCCTAACTTTCGTCTTTCATCCGTTTTGGTTTGTTTTTGGTGCAAACCTTGTTTTCCTCGTTTGGAAGGTGGTACAAGGGTGGAAGACCAATATTTCCCCTTGGAAACCACTTTTCCTCCTGCCAACTAGTTTTCTGGTCTGATAACTGGTCTCCTTGATCTTGGGACCATCAAAAGTGGTCGGCCACCACACCATTTGTTTGTTTTCATCCTCTGGACTCTCTTCCACCTTGGCCGACTAGTTGTTGTTCTGGGAGACCACTTGAAGTGGCTGGCCGACAAGAAAAAGTAGTTGGCCGACCACTTAAGTGGTCGGCTGCTTTTTGGCACCTTTTTGGAGATATTTTCCTCCAGCTGGCACAACTGGAGGGCACCAGAGCCATCCTCCATACACGTGTATGGAGGGATTGCCTTGGCCCTTAGCTTCTTGGAGAAGCTTTTCCTTTTTGTTTCTATAAGAGGGAGGCTCCTCCTCCCTCCTCTAGGTTCAGAAAAATTGCCTTAAGACATATAGATATAGTTTTGTATCTATCTTGCCCATTACTTCATTTTTGTGCTTCAAAAGTGTAGATTTGTCATACTTTTGTACACAAACACACACTCAAACACCTTGCTTGTGTTACTGAGGCTTCAAACATGTCCGGATATTTCTCGCGGACTTCCAACTCACGTTCCCAAGTGGCTTCCTCCAATCCGTGATGCTTCCACAGAACTTTTACCAAAGGGATGGTTTTGCCTCACAAAACTTGGTCCCGCTTATCCAAGACCCTAATCTGTCTCTCCTCATACGAGACATCCTCGTCAACTGCTAAATCGGTCCAATCCAACACATGTGATGGATCCGGCTCATACTTTCGAAGCATACTCACATGAAACACGTCATGTACTCCGGACAATTGCGGTGGTAAAGCTAAACGATAAGCAGCCTCGCCAATCCTCTCAAGGATCTCAAAAGGACCAATGAACCGAGGGGACAACTTCCCGCTCCTCCCAAACCTCATCAATCCCCGCCTTGGTGATATCTTCAGAAAGACATGATCACCCACCTCAAACACCAAAGGTCTCCTCCTACGGTCGGCATAAGATTTCTGACGACTCTGGGCTGCAACAAGCCTCTTACGGATAAGCTTAACTTTCTCCGTCGTTTCCCTCACTAACTCCGGACCCAACAGAGGTGCATCACCCACCACGGCCCAACAAACAGGAGATCTACACGGTCGGCCATACAAGGCCTCAAATGGTGCCATACCGATACTAGACTGGAAACTGTTGTTGTAGGCAAACTCCACTAATGGCAAATGCCTCTCCCACGACCCGCTAAAGTCAAGAACACAACCCCGAAGCATATCCTCAAGGATCTAAATAGTATGCTCGGACTGCCCATCAGTCTGAGGATGATAAGCTGTGCTAAAGGTCAACTTAGTGCCTAAGGCACTCTGCAAGCTCTGCCACAATCTGGCAGTAAAACGAGGGTCCCTATCGGAGACGATCGTCACTGGAACCCCGTGCAACCTCACTATGTCCCGAATATACAAGTCGGCAAGATGATCTACTGAATCTCTAACGCGCATAGGAATGAAGTGCGCCGACTTAGTCAACCGGTCTACAACCACCCAAATAGCATCACTGCCCCACCGAGTCTTCGGAAGACCTACAACGAAGTCCATAGTGACATGCTCCCACTTCCACTCAGCAATAGGCAAGGGTTGCAACAAACCCGCTGGCCTCTGATGTTCGGCCTTCACTTGCTGACAAGTAAGACACTTAGATACGAAAGCTGCCACATCTCTCTTCATACCCCGCCACCAAAACTGGCGACCCAAATCCCGATACATCTTAGTGCCTCCCGGATGCACCGCAAGGCGTGAATGACGAAACTCTCGGAGTACCTCCTCTCGACAAGACTCTGGCACAAACAGACGGTCTCGGTATCTCACACTCAGGTCGGAAAACACCGTCAAACCCTTCTCAACCTTCCCACCAGAAATCTTCTCACAGAGCTTTTTAATAAAGGACCAAGGTTAGATACTCACCCTAGGTAGATCAATTTTTAGAGAGAAGACAAATTTAGAGAGAGAGAGAGAGAGAGAAAAAA